CCACATCACACATCTACCCTCCTTCCAGTTCAGTGGGTTTCAAACTCTTTATCATGACCCATGGCTCCCAATAAGAAATGTATGTTATAACATAATACGGTACACATTGTCTATCTCTTTATGTATGTGTGTGTACATATTATATATACAAACATTCACAAAACTGTACTTAATCTTACAATGCATTACGATGTTTTTCATTCTAGTCTATTCTGTTTTATTTCATTTTATTTAAATAATGAAGAGAGGTTCATCTAACACATATTTTGACCAAATACTAAATAGATGAGAGTTAAAATAGTGACTGAAGTCAATACTAAAGCCTAATATCAGACTGGGATGCTGAAATAAAAACAAAATCTTATTTAAAAAATTAAAAACAATGGAATTTTATTTTTAAATATTTAGTAATCATACTTAAACTTTTGATATTCCACAGGAGAGAACTCAATCTTCATTGTAGCTGCTAGATTGTTCTAGCAGTAACTAAAACACACATCTGGGATAATAAGTAGATGATTCACATTTCAAGTAAGAAACTAAGATTGTTAAAGAATCAAAATATCTTGGAAGAAGTATCTCAATTTTCTCTAACACTTTCTTCTTTTCTTCACATTTTTTATTATATATGGTTAAAAGTAATTTATCCTGGATATTGTCATATATGATTTTGGTGGCAAAATTGAAATTTCACTGTAAATTCATCAATAATACTTGATAAGATTCATAGCTTAAATGGAAATAAGAAATAAAATATGATGCATAAAAGTTGTTTTATTTGACATTTCAGTCAAAATGGCAGAGTGTGTAAATGCTGTGCATGCCTCCTCCCATGACCACATTAAAATTGCAACTGAATTCTGAAACAGTCAACCTAGAGAATGATCTGAAGGCTAGCTGAATAGAACTCCTATAACTTGGGATATAAAGAGGAGACAACATCAAGACTTATAGGAAAGGCAAAAACGTAAAATAGGTTGATCCCACACTCATGTGTGGTAGTTGAGCATTGGGAAGAATATATTAGCTACAGAGGCCCCCTTCCCTGGAGGAATGAGGGGCCCCAGCCCCATATGGAAGCTCCATAGCCAGGGTTCCAGTGCCAAAAAGAGGAGCCCCCACAAAATCTGGCTGTGAAAATAAGTGGGATTCTGGCCATCAGGATGGGATGGAAGGCAGCTGGAAACCCAGACATCTCCAGACTTGCTTGCTCACAGGCACTCACCCTGGGCTCTGGTGAAGGGACAGCAGCTCAGGAGATGCCAGAGACATACAGAAAAACACCAAGTTGTATGGCTTCAGAGCAAGGGCTGGAGGGTCAGTGGCCATTGTCCCTTTGTTGATCTCTCCTCCTATATAGCCCACAGGTGAGCACCACCTTGCCTGTGTTGAGCTTTCCCTCAACAAGGCCAAATCTTCACTGGCCCAGTGAGATTGGCTTGCTCCACCCCAGTGACTCCCTGAGATCCCAACTCACAAATCACCCAATGCCATTTTGGTTGGTTATTGGGTAACCAGCACCACCTCACACTCCCAGCAGGAGGTTCCTTCTACAGCAATCAACAGACCTCAACTCACACCATGAGAGAAACTTTCAGTGGAAGAAAACCAACCTAGGCCTGAGCTGCAGTATTTCTTGAACAAATCTTGGGGGTCTGCGAGGGCCCAAGGCAGTCAGTGGCTGGCCTCAGTGCGAGATGAGACTTCTGCAAGTGGCCACAAAGTCAGCACTGCCAACAAATCTGAATCTGCACCAACCTAGGGAACACCACTTGCCCCATGCAGGTGACTCCCTGTGACCCTGCCTCACCCAACTCTGGTACCACCTAAGGCTCATTCAGTTGCCAAGCCTTATGAGAAGCTAGCAGGCAGCCTCAGGGGGCCTGGGCCTTTTGCTGAGCTGCCCCAGGGCTACGGTACTGGTGGCGATCAACCTCTGTTCACCATATGACCTCTCCCAATATCTTAAGGTCCTGCTTAGGCAGAGACCAAGCACAGATAGCTTTATAGCTCTTCCAGGTAGCACTGGGCTGGACACAGGCAGCAGCTAACTTTGGCCTGAATGGGAGCCCCTCTCAAGGGGCTTCAGAAACAACACACTCATAAGTTGGCATTAGACTTCACCTTATTAGCCCCAAAAGTGGTACACCCAAAGAATAGTCTCAGCAGGGACACAAATCTGCTGGGGTGAACTGCATTCCATGGGGTCAGCTCTCAAAC